TTAATACAGCCCTGGCAAGGGTCAAAACTACCTTTGATAAATCATTCATTCTCCTGGTTCCTGCAAGTTGTTCTTCCAGATCAGTGATGTTCTGGGTGAGGTTTACAGCAGATATTTTTCCCCTCTCAGAGCAAGATCACCCAGCTCTGGCAGACAAAACCTGTGCTGGCTCCAGAGCAGAGACAGAGCTGGAGATGTGGATGCACTGCCAGCCTCAGCATGGAGGTCTCCGGAACAGGCAGGGACAACCTGCAGTGGGGCAGGATGGGTCCACCCCATCCCTCACCAGAGGAAATTTCTCTCTGTCTATCTGAGCAAGTCAAGAATGTTAAACAGTTTCTCTTCCCTCCCATTTCCTCATCAGTTTTTTCCTAAAAAACCCAATTCTCTCTCATGCCAGCCTTCCTTACACTGCTGTCCCATGGCTCTGTGTGCACCTGAGCTAAAAGCTCAGATGAACTGAGATTGTGACCAAGATGCTCCACTTTGTGCAATACTCAGTGCTGGATAAGTGATTTACACAAAACCAGTCCCAAACAACAGCACATCTCACAGCTGTGCCATTCAGGCAATGCCATGCTCTGCTTTTATGGCCCTTCCCTCTGCAGTATTCTGGTGCCCAAGCTGAAGAAACAGCCCGGATCATAGAAAAGTGAATTTCAGGGTAACTAGATAGGTAATGAAATAAAGAGGGAACTATATATATATGTGGCCTGGAAGGTGCTCACCAAACATCCAACCTTTTTTCCAGTGTGCCTGAGGGTCCCAAATGTTTGGTTTGGGGGAGGAAAAAAACCAACACAATAAGCAATGACAAAAAAAAAAATATAAATAAATATATATATAAACAAAAACCAAACAAAGCAGGCAAAGCCAGAGAGCACTGAATCTATTCCATTTTGCCCACAAGTTCCCACCATATAACTCTTGGCACAAACCCCTTTCATGGTGCTCCTGCACTGCTTTCAGCAACCTCCTCCCAACTCTAGGGACATTCAGCTGCACCAGGGCTCTTCCAGCACAAGAGCCTCTGCCAAGGAAAAACAATTTCCTCGTGTCCTTCCTGTCCCTCCCTGTCCCATTCCAAGCAAGGCAGAGCCTGGCCCAGAAGATGCTGCTGTGAGGAAGGAGTTCAGGTAAAACCAGACTGATTCAGCAGCTTGGCTGCTCACACAGGAGCACTGGGCAAACATGACCTGTATTCACTGGGAGAGGAGACTCAGAGGTGACCAGGGGAAAATATAACTCTAAAGAGAATTCATGAGATGATATGAAACTGTTTAGGGCTATGGCAAATGTGGGAAGCAGGTGGAATAAATGAAAAAGCTCAGAAAAGGTCAAGCCTTGGAGGAACTGAGCGAGTTCTCAGTGCAGGGAAGAACTGATCTGAAACACTCCTGCCAGAGGCAGCAGGGAAGAAAAATCAAATAAATAGTTTTGAAGGAATTGGAGAATGGAATGCATCTCATTGTAAGCATCTAGGAATTAAGTGTGTAACCTGGGCCTCTCATCCAGGCTCCCTCAAGAGCAGAGAGAGAGTAGCACATTTTAGAGGACAAGTAATCCAGGCTACCTGTGAAAATGCCTGTTAGCATGGACCCAGGAACTGGTTCAGAGATGAGGTGAGGAAAATCCCAACCTTCATCACTGCAGAGCTCCTGAGAAGGTGACAAACATTTGCCAACATGAATTTAATGAGGTGTCTCCTTGGAGTGGCACCCCACCAAGTTCTAACAGAGACTATGTGGATGTGAGCCTGGCCATGTACCAGCTCCAGCTAACCAACAAAACTCAGCAAAAACAAAACAAAATGGTTTTTATTTGCCTTTAAATACCTGGGTGATTTATTTAAGGAAAAAAAAAAAAGAAAAAAATGTGAAAAATACAAGGAAATATGAAGAATGTTAATGCAATAATTGAAGAAAATATATTATCTTCAATTCCTTTTTACCTGGATCTATAGTTATTTTAGAAGGAGATTGGGTTATGAAGTAAATTTCATTTATTCCAAATAAAAGAAGAATGCTACATTTTTTTTTGACAAGTGTTCTTCAATAAGCCACCTGGATAGTTCTAGTAGCAGGTAATAAAAATGAAATATGATAGGATTTCCAAGAAGATCCCAGCAGTTAACAAGGAAAACGATTTCACAGCTCTTCCCTAGGAGGCCCCCAGACTTCCCAGGGATAACAAGAAAGCTTTAATCAGTCCCTTTGCAAGGTGTGTAGGGGAGGTTTGCAAGATGTGGCTTTATACCTGTGCTAGCTGTAGCTTTTACTTAAGAAGCAGTAAAGTAAAATCAGAGGTTTGGCTGGATGTAAGCCAGGCCTGTGCAGCTGAGCAGCACTGGGGTGTGCTGGGCATCTCAGAAGGAAAGACAGGGTGAGTTTTATTGGGAGCATCACTGCTGTCCTGGATCTAATTCTTGTTTTACCCATATAGACAAACATGATTTTAGCTCTTCTTCTCCCATGGACTGAGCCTGGTTGCAGACCCACTCTGTTCCAAAGGCAGCCTGGCCTTGCACTGCCCTAATTCCCAGTTTGTTCTCCCCAGATTTACATTTGCAGGGCCTTTACTGGATGGCATGGAAGCTGGCTGTGAAGAAGGAACATACTTGAGAGGCTTAAACAAATCATTTGACTCTACATTATTTACCAAGTGAATAAAATTAATCAAATCTGCTATTTCTTCTCCTGGGCCAGCTTCTGTTGGCCCTTGCATTTTGTGTGAGTTTCTCCTTGCTTTTCAAACACATTTCCCCATCCTAGCAGAGCTGCCCCACCACTAAACCCCCAGCACAAGGAGACTACAGAAGAGCCAGGGGGACCCTCTCTTTGCTTGTCTGCAGCCAACAGAGCAGGAATTCTGGAGAAAGTGGCAGTGACTGCAATGCATAAATCACAGGGACAATATTGTGTCTCTTCCCTTTGCAAAGATCCCATATATCACCATGACTCAGTGCAGATCTCCCAGTGGGGACTAATTCCAACTTTTAATGCACTTTCCATCTGATTCCTCCGTGACAACAGATGGGGCTCTGTCCTGAGATATTGCATTTTGCACACAATATATTAAGCACCTCTGTGTTTCAGTACAATTTGGTTTGGGGACCCACTACTAATCCCATTTCAGTGGTTTGAATTGTGCATTTTCCCACTGACAAGACAAAACCCCTCCAGTCCAATGGCCATCATCTCTTCCCCTCTGCTCTATTTTTTTTTGTTGTTTCACCAATCTTCCTGGATGTGATAAATCATGTAAATTTAATTTAGAGATTATACCCCTGGCTTTAGAGGCAGACAAGGTTAGCTCTCTACTTGCAGCCTGTAGCCCACTAATCTTATAAAATTCCTCCATTCCCACTTGGCTGGAGCTGCTGTTGGGGAGTGGAGGGAGGGCAATATCTATTCTATAAAGTGTTTTGGATTTTTGTTGGACACTTGCAGATGGCATCCTGGCCCCTGTCCAAAGTCATACTGCTGCATAAGGATAAATCCTGAAGGTTTTCACAAGCCCACTGTATTACAAGCTTTATCTCAGCAGCATGAAGTTGGTGCTACCATTTCCAAGCTCTTCCCAGTCTCTCCAATCAGTTATAAATTTCTTTCAGCTACATTTTTCCAAAGACAGCTCCAAAGCATTTTTCCAAAGCAGTTCTTAGTCCATAGCACCTCCCCCCTGTGCATGTTTGCTGTCTCCTTTCTGTATGACTAGAGGCAAACACTCCTTCCCCAAAGAACTATCAGATCTGCAGAGGACATGCAAGAAATAGGGGAATTCCTGATATCTACAGAAAAAAGCATGATTCTTTGCCTTTCAGGATTTTTTGGCCCCAGGCTGAGGGTTACAAGCACTGACCAAGCACATTATCCATGCAGTCTTTCCTTCATCTATAAATTCCCTTTCTCAGGAAACATGTAGCACCAGCAGGGGATTAAAATCAGTTGTTTCATGGGCATCCCAGGTGGTTGTCTTTCATCTCCTTTCCTAATATTTCTGTTAGGCTTGGATAGGTTTTATTGGCTTTTTTCCTCTTTGCTCTTTCTCACGCCTGAGCAGCTCTTGGCTTTGGCAGGCACAGAAACAGCAGTTTTATGACATGCATTTTTTAATGTATCAAAACATGTTCTTTTGATCCATTTTTCAAAAAGCAAACTCTGCTCAGCAAAGGTTAATAAGTTTCCCACACCAGCTGGATGTAAGAGAGGTCCAGATGTTGCTGAGAGTCAAAACTCTCATCTTCAGAAGTCAGCAGGGCAAAACCAGAACCTTCCCAGGTACTGCCTAAGCCACAAGAAATTGCTGGACGCTCTAAGAGCTGACAGTTTGGCACATCTGAGAGAAGTTTATATGAAGTTATTACACTTATATGAGCTCCACAGCAGCTGCCCAGACAATCCACATGGGCAGGTTTCTGTAGCTTTGAGTATCACACACACAGGGAATGTAAACAGCTCAGACAAGCAGCACATCACACCCTCCCAGCGTAGCAGCTCAGTATTTGCACATCCAGCACTAAAAAAAAATTGTCTCCAGCCCAAAGCCTGTGTTCTCTTTGCTCTTTACCCTTATGACAAACAAAAGGTAGGGAAGGAATCAGTGCTTCAGCCAGCACTGACCCCAGGCTCCCCCAGGTGCTGGGCAGGGCAGTGCCCACTGCAGCTTTGCCAGGACAGCTGAGGTGTGAATGCGGCAAATTCTCTTTGCCCTTTCACACAAACCAAGTCATGTCACTAACAAATTTTATCAAATTCTTTAGAGCTTTAGTCCACAGTGAAGTTCGCCATCTCAGCTTGTTCCAAACTTTACAGACAAGAAGCTAAAACTTCTTTTACTTTACTTCTTTCCATTCAGTCCGTTGAAGAAAATGCTGAATGCACAAAATATATTTTGTTTTACTACTCCCAAAGTGGATTTCCCTGGGATCTGCCTATCTACTTGCATGGGAATTATGACTTTTTAAAGAAATATTTGAATGTGAAAGGCAGGAGACTCACCAGACAGAACTGGAGGGAGCATCCCACAGGTGGGAGAAAGCTGGGATTAAAGGCAGGAGATAATTTTGCAAATTTTGCACCTTGGCAGATCGCAGAGGAGCACTCAAGGAACTCAGGTCAAGAGCATCAGTAAGAGAAGGAGGAGAGAGGGCCTGGAAAGAAGAGGAGGACATTTTCATTTAAATAACCCCACAGCAGATAGGAACTGGACACATAGATGAAGCTTAGTCAGGGTTTTAAACAAAGCCCAGAACACCAGTTTAGAAATGTAGAATTGTCCTGGTTGGAAAAGATCTTAAATAACCTCAAGTCCAACTGCTAACCCAGTACTACCAAGCCAGCCACTAAAACATCTCCATGTCTTCTAAACACCTCCAAGGATGGTGACTCCACACTTCCTTCAACAGCCAGGGCATGACAAGGACAGCTCCTGGCATCATCCCAGTGCACAGGGCACAGCACCACTGATCCAGATGTTCCCTGAACTAGGCTAATCCCAGATTTGTTTCAGAAAAGTTTTATGGATGTCACAGTTCATTTATTAACATGGGAAGGATGATGCAAAAATCCCAAAGCAAGAGAGACTGGCCAGACAATGGTGCATGACTGGCCAAGCTTGCCCAGAAACCAACAGGACAATTTTTATCACAGCACATCACAATTCTTCATGGTAAGGATCAGAAACAAGGCAGTTTCACAGCAGGATTGTTCTCAGCTGCTGCTTTTTCAGAGCAGCTGATGTCTCACAGAATCCCTTGGAAAACCACTCAGCCTTGCACTGCTCCTCTCTCCCTCACTCCTCCATTTTCCAGGAAGGAAAGGCAGGGAATCAAGGTGTGTTCTCAGCTCCCAGCAGCTGCAGATGGTGGCACCTGGAGGGAGGCTGGGAGGCGGCAGCAGAATGGAAGGACAGGGCTGGGACAGCCCTGGGCTCAAGAGGGGACACCAGGATTCTCTCAGAATGACGCCAGTATTGTTTTACAAGGAAAATAATATCTCTTCTCCTAACATTGAATCTTTTTATTGACTTCAGTTTCAATACAAGCAGAGAAATGTTTAGAATCAAACCAAACCAGCCCTGCTGCAAAACCCTATGTTTTCTAACACAGAGAACAAATCAAAGGAAAGGTTTCTACAAAGCAAATAACAAAAATCTGTGAAACCATCCTTTACAAAAATATTGGAAATAATAAAATTAATCACATTAAACATCAAAAATTACTTTTAGATCCCTCACAGAGAGGCTACCATGACATCAGCTCTGAAGATATCCACAAAGCAAAGTTAATGTTATCCTGCCACGTTGGATTCCAAGGGATACTTGCACAGAATGATATAGAAGGAGGGGGAATAACATAAGCAAAAAAGAAATTCCTTGCCTAAAAGCCACTTCATATAAAAATATCATCTTAAAACTAACCTATATTAACCTTTAAAGTAGAATTTTAAATAGATAACTTTAAAAATCTGGCATAAGTCTGTCTCCTTCCAGATCAGCATTTAGAGACTTTCACCTATGGAAAAGGCTCTATTTTGAGGAGCAGACCTGACAGCAATGAAGCTGAATAAGGATAAATTTAAATTAGTCAGAAAAGCATCATGCTTAGATGAGAACAAGGTCCTCCCAGGAGGTGGTGTTTAACAGCCTCTGTGATTGCTGCAGGAAGGACACTGCTCTGCATTGTTCTCTACAGGAGAGTCAATAGCCTGGAGAAAGATAGATTATTGTTCCTTACATCTAGAAGAGCTTTTATTAAAAAAAAAAAATCATATTCACAGGGCATTTGAGGGTAAGCTGATAGTTTTAATTTCCCCTCCAGCTCATTTCCAATTTTTGGGGAAGCTGGTTAGAGAACAGAGCTGTCTGTGTGGATGCATGAAAGTCACAGAGCAAAGGAAAGGGAGCAGCAGCTCTCCCACACCATGTCTTGAAACTACTCAGCCTTCCCAAAAACAGCTCAGCCAGAGCCCTGCACACAGCCATGGCTCCTCCATGGGTGGGAACAGAGCCTGTTTTAGGGCAAAACCCTCCAAAGTCAAGCTCACTTTAGAACTGGGTGCCCAATGATTCACAGAAAGCTGAAGGTGCCAATCCTTCATGCTACTCATCTCTTCCCAAGAGCTGCCTGTGACCTTCAATTCCCCTCCAAAGAGGCACCAGAGGGTTTGTTTTGGCAAACAAACCAGCACAGCAGTTTCTCCTGAGCCTGAAGCCCTCCTGGGAACCCAGAGTGATGCTCTGGACCAGGGGCAGGAGAGCACAAAGAGCCAGGCAGGGGCTCAGTACAACAGCAACGAGCAGGTGTTGGGCAAGGAAAGGCAGGAAAGCTACATAAAGAAGAAATCACCTTCATTTTGATTATGTTTTTCACCCAAGCTTGCTGAATTTAATTATTTGCTCCATTACAGAGAGCACTGTCCAGGCACAAGCTTCCTGGAGAAGAACTTGTACTGTTAAGATGCTCAACTCTATGTGAGGTTATTTAGAAGGCAGTAAAAATTTTCACCCCAATCTGTTTTGTACCCTAAACAAAAACACTGGTGTAAGAAAACAGTGCTTAAGGTGTCTGTAGAGGTTTTATTCACAGGAAAAACAAAATGCTGTAGAAAAGGAGGGACAAACCTGGATATGTAGCAAAACCCAGCTCAGAACTGTGATAATTCTTAAAGCTACTAATTGACTGAACACTCAAACAAATCCATTTCTATAGCAGCTTCTGCCCTTATGCACAGTCACAAAATGAACCTTAAATTTTAATGGAGGAGAATATTTTACATATTTTTATTGCTAGGGGTGCTGAGGCACAGAGCAGTGAAATGCTCACCATCTTATCTTGGCATTCTCTCCCTTCCTTCCTCTCCACACAAGATGGTGAGGGGGCAGGAAAACCCTTCCCAGGTCTGGACCAGTGCAGAATCAGTGAGGCAGAGATGTGATGCACTGAGCACAGCCAGGAGTCCCACTGGGGAGCGCTGAGATGGACACAGATGCCAGCAGTTGTCAGGGACAAAGCTCTACATATGGGAACACACAGAAATTCTGCACAGGGCAATAAATACAAGGCATTCTCTGCCCTGGAACAACCTGGAGACTCAGTGTCTCAGGAGGAACATGTCCTGTTCCTGCTTTGCATGTTGGATAACTTGGGAGCAGCTCTGAGAACACAATTTCCTGATTTCCTGAGTGAGACTCCATGGATGATATTTGCCTCCCAGCCAAGTACTACTTTGGAGTTCTTCTGCTTAAGCAGAGCAAGGAGTAAATATTTTCATTTAAATTATTGTATATTCTCCTCTCTCTGTGAGTCCTCACCTCCAGGTTCCCTGACAGCCTCCCAAAAGGAATGCTGCAGCTGTGGCAGCAACTCCACACTTCTGTTCACTCCTGAGACAAAATAATCCTCCCTAACTCCATTTTCCTCCACTCCAGGAGCAATTCATTTGGCTGGCCTTTTCCTAGCAAATATTTAGCATCCCGTGTGCACATATTTAGAAAGAATTCCTCCCAAATCACTCAGCTGAAAGTGATTTCCCCCGAGGAGGGACAGAGAACAAACACGTGCCAGCTGTGAGCTGCGTTATTCACCGCTCTCCTGGAAGGCACTGGGTACCACAGAGCTGCAAGAGGCTCAGCAATCGAGGTGGGACAAAATTACCCATCCACATTTAATTAATTTTCACTCTGTTTTCCTATCAGGCTCACTGCTGCAAAAACAGGAGGGATGAGGTTCCATGGAGGTGGTTTACAAGGTGAGAGAGGATGGCAAAACAAGGTAAAGAGAAGTGCTAAATACCAGTTTTGTTATTTAATGTTCATCTTTGCTCTGTTCCAAAATTTCTGTATAGCAGTGGCTTTGCAGGAGAATTTCTGGTTATGGCTGTGAAAATATTCCTGCTACTTTTCTGTATCTACTTTGTGAGAGTTTAGTCTCAGACAACATTGGCTGCAATCTTTTCATCTGAACAGACTGACTGTGGGAAAGCTACTGGCACAAAACTGATTTCTATGTTACAGTAATATTATACCAATTTAAATGAAAAAAACTACTGGATATTTTGAGAACTTGTACTTCTGGATTTTTTATTTTATCTTATCTTGGAATGCTGACAGTTCTCTGATATTACTTCTGTTTTTCTATTTTCACATGGACATATTGTGAAATCAATCACAAATTTTTTTTGAAGATGATGATTTGGGACAAATCATGAGGTTGGATTAAAATATTGGTTTATTGGAAATCAAAATTAAAATGAAACAAATTCAGAATTGGAAATAGCATGGATTAATATAGAAATAGTAAGAAAATCTTGTTAAAAAAAAATTGAAACTCCAAAATGCCTAATTTACTACAAGAAAGAATTTCAGAAATTATTTCATAGGAATACAGAAGAAAATAATGAAATGTCAACACTCCCTATGAAAATGACATACTGAAATCATCCATGTCTCCCTTAATGCATGATAACAAGGGAGGAAAGATGCACGTTAGGGCACTGGCCTGGAATATAAAACATTTCTATTCAAATTCCCAAATGGACAGAGATATCTGGTCAGACTGTTGATTTTTCTGCATCTCAGTCACCAAAGTGGTGAAATGCAGCAAGACAAGACCCCATCTCTTCCCTGACACAGTTACTATGATAATAAGGTGGCAAATAAATTCCTTGGGTTTAAGCCAGCTCCTTCCAGCCGCTCTCACCTGCTCCAACAGCAGAATGTTTGCTGATAATAATTACAGGCTGAGATTGCAGGGCTGCCTGGGGGATTTGGGTGCCCAGGGGAGCTGGCAGCTCTGGAGATCTCCACACTTGGGTTTTGCTGGTGCTCTGATTGATCTCTGCCACCAGCCCAGCAACGCTGCAGGTGCAGGCATGCAGAACAGCAGGAATATTTACAGTGATAACATCTTCATGTCAGCAAGGCAGGGAATCCCATTGGGCCAGAGGTTTCACAAGCAGAAGTAAATAAGAACATCCTGTCCAAAACAAACTCTCTGCACTTCTGGTACACAACTTTGAGTAGGACAATTCCCCAGCACCACTGTGCAGAAAATGTGACATTTGAAACATCTCAAGGGTCACACAAATCCAAGAGTCTGCTCACAGGACCTTCCTCTGCACCTACAAAAGTAATTTCTTCCTGCTCCTTTCC